CCCCCCCCCGCTACATCGGAGAAAATGGAAGTGACTGGACTTACTCAGGCAGAGATTGCCATTGAAATTCCATCATAAAGATTTATGTACCATTTGCCTTCAGGCAAGGAGATAGTTTCATTAATTTTTGTAAGAACTGAGTTGAGTATTGGTAATAAGTCCATGTTCGCACATATCAGAGGGCTGAGATAATCTCTATTTTTAGTTTAAATATTGAGATTTATCCTGTACCAAGCCCATAGCGTTGTAAGTGGTTGTGAAATGTGAGCTGTAAGACCAGTAATCAGTGACTTCATAGCTGGGCCTATAGCCCAGGCTCAGCCTTCCTCCTAGCGCTTTCTGTAGTTGTCAAATGAAGGTAGATGGACCTCAACAAAACATGTTCCAAATCATATTGATACAGATTAGGTATATACTCAAAATGCATAAAAGTATGGATCAGATTCAATGTATGCTCCTTCAAAGCGTAGTTCCAACTTTGAAGAATAATTTAAAACTTAGAGAATATCTGGAAGAGAAGCAGGGGCTAACTCGTACAACATGGAAATCATTGTGTTTACCACTGCATTCCCCAGGAAACTTCTGTATTCTGAAAAATATTGGTAACTTGAGCCACAAGCGCACGGCTGACTGCCGGCATGTAGTAATCTAAATAAGCACGCATTTTGTTTCTCACAGCTATCCTACATTTTGGAATACTCAAGACAGAAAATTATATTTTAATTAGTGTATTAAAGATATTGCTATTCCCAACTCTTTCAACTAGGCTTTCTCATTCATCTTCATTAATGATCAACCAATTATCAACATAATGCATTATGCATTAGCTTCTGCAGTGAGAATTATAACTTAATGCAACTCTTGTGAAAGTGCACACTGGGCTGTGCAAGAACAGAGCAGTGCAATTCTGCATCGCTCTGAGGTTCAGCATGTATCACTGATCCCACTTGTTTCAGCATTTGAGCACAACGAGGTGTTATTATCCTAACAGCCTCTGTGGTTGTTGAAATGACCTGAATTTCCTGGGCCTGTCTCTCAGTTTTAAAAGTTCTGTCAGAAAGGCTTTAAGTGCTATGCAGAATAACAAAGGTGTTGCTTATTTTTGCTTGCTTGTTTCCTTTTAATGAAATACATTCCATATCACCCCACTGTCTTTCTGGTAATATGAAACTTTGCAAATGGGCTTCTTAATTATAAATGAAAGACCTTCTCATAGTAGTAACAGAAGGATCCACAAAAGTATCCACAATGATTCCTGAAAACAGTTTTGAAACTACCAGTGTGGAAAGCTTTCAAAATAAGTACAAGCCTGAAAGAAATATACACATAACCTGTGTCATCTGATATGCAGGAAAAGAAGTCATTCACAAATGACTTTGTGACATAATAGTACATTGTTTCTAATAAAGTTCTCCTCTTACATTGTATATTAATTTCCAGAACAATCCCCAGGAGCAAGAAATCAGTGTTTCGGAGAAATCTTAACCAGAATAAAACACAGAGAAGAGAAACCACAATACACTAGGAAGGATATAGAACAAGTCAAGGAATTCCCTGATATGAAAGCCTGAAAGTTACTGTATTTGTCAGCCTGTGTCCAACTAGAGTTACAATGCACTAGAGCACTAGAAAGCACTGGCCGTTGGTGGTGGATCTTTCAATCATTATACCTGAAAAATCTGAGACTGCAGATTTCAGTACTTAAAGTATTTAATGTAAAGTGTGAACCTTACAGTTTTGCTCTTAAATATTGCCACTTGCTTTGTAAGAAAAAAGAAAATCAGTAATACCTTTTACTGTACTAGAAATGTTTTGAAAAGTGTTCAATTCTTGATAAACACATTATTATAATTGGTTATTAACTGCTAATGCAGAGCTTTCACCTCTGAATTCTCCAACAGAAAATACATGTGAAGACTAGAAAGTACAATTATACTTTATCAATCCCAGATGACATGTTATTACATAAGTTGTCACATTTATCAGTCACAGACTATAGATACAAAAAGGCAATTTGTAAAGATAAGGGTTTCTTTTCTTCACATTTCAGAAAATACACTGCCTGTTCAGTCTAGCTTAAAAGCCTCAACTGATACTGCAAAATTTGTCAAAACGGAAGAAACAATCCTCTAAACATCAACTAAGAAAGTTTCCAGCCATCAGCATCTCAGGTTCCTTAAAGGCAAAAAGCCCAAGCTTTCTTTTCAAGGTTTGCAGCAACACATTAAAACGTCTTGCAGACACTTTGCAGTTGACTCACAGCTTAAGTTTAGCAAAGTGGTATCTGAGGGAAGAAACGCCAATAACACCTTGTGCTGCTGTCTACTTGTTAGGTTAAAGCAGGGCAAGGAAGAGCAAAGGGCTGAATCCTTGGCGGCCCCCGGGCAGCCGTCCGGCAGCGCCTCTGCTGTCGGTGCTGACAGGTGAACACACACGCTCTGATGGAGCCCGGTGTCCCAATGCTTAGAAAACCCTATCACACTGCCCCGGCACTGCAGGAAAAACACCACCGTATACACTATTTTATTATACTTGGCCATAAAGCATCTCATAGATCATTTTTGTGTGCAAGGTGAAGAGAATTACAGCACGACACGGTGCGTTCATTATTTGAGAAAGCAGACGGTGTCGGTGGTACCGCGCCGCGCGCCCACCTCGAGCGCACGGAAAGCGAGCAGGTCGTTACCTGTGTGCAGGGACCCCGTGATCAGCCTGAGCAGGTACTGGGCAAATTTCAGTATTTCCCGCTTGCAGCGCTTCCGACAGCCGCTCATCTTAGGCGCGTCCCTCGGAGCGCAGCCGGGAGAGGCGCCCGCGCAGGGCGGCAGCTCCGCGCTGCAAAACTTCGCTCGGCGGCCGGGGAGGTGCCGGGGCCGCAGCCGGGGCCGCTCCGCAGCCCGCGGCGGCTCCGCGGGCGCCGCAGCCTCGCGCTCCGCGGCCGGAGGCGGAGCCGCCCGCCCCGCGCGCGCCGCACGGGCGGGACGCGGGGATGGAGATGAGCCCGCGCGCACACGCACACCCCGCGTGCACACAATGTACACGCACACATGTGCACGCACACACCCCACGTGCACACAATGTATCCGCACACACGTGCGAACACGCACACTCCACGTGCACACATGGGCATGCACACACGTGCATGCACACACACACCCCCTGCATGCACACACAGGGAGGCACATGCAATCCCCGACTCTGCCCAAAGCCCCCGACTCTGCCAAGAAAAGCGCACAGACCTGTTAGAAACAGCTCGGCGCACTCAAGGTCAGAGGGACAGGCCCGTGCCTGAGCTGCCGCCGTGCAAGCAAGCGGGGAGCTGGACAGGGTCCCTGGTCATGCGGTCCCCGGCTCCCTCAGCAGCACCCACCAGGCACACGCATGGTGCCCTGCACCTGGATGGGACACAAGGAGCGAGATGCCACCTGCAGCTCGAGAGGCCACGTGTACCTGGGGCTGCAGAGCTCCTCCAGCTCCCTGGCTCAGGTGAGCAGCTGCCTCTGCCACATGCAGCAGGACCTGGCCCAAATGAGCCCCTTAGGGAAGCTCCATGCATCCCTTCCTATGCCCCTCTAAATATTCTCCGACTTGTGTGATAAGTCTGTCCTGTTGACAAAAATGCTCTGAAGTCTTCATTCATGACCAAAGAATCACATGAATGTTTTCCCTTCCCTTGGAGGAAAAGCAAAATCCCTTTCCCTGCCATATACAAACATAGAATGACTCCGACTATTGCATTAGGTGCTGATGCAGTGCATAATGCCTAATTCAGTTAAAAAGGCAGAGAATCCATTAGGAAAAGCTTAACAGAAGAATACCACTGTTCATCAGATCTAATTTAATGGCAGCATTAACCAAACATGTTGGCAAATGCCTTTTTAAAATTGCAACAAGCATGCATGCAGATCTTCAAAGTATTCTTTGTAATACGCACTGAGCAGAGATAAACACAGCATAGACACAATGCATCAAAGTATCCAAGTTAGACCGGTGACCATTTCCACACAAAGTACCAGGATCTGCAGCATAAGCATGCAACAACAGGAGCCAAAATTAAGCAGCATCTGGAAGCCCCATTTTCAGCAGAGCTCAGAGTTTAGCTGGAGACGGGACTAGGCAAATTTCAATATTTCATGTTTACAACACTTTCTGCAGCCACTCATCTTGAGCAACAACTATTCCTCTGAGGAGGCTTAGCAGCATTCGCCAAGAAGAGTTTGATAGAAGACTTCCTAGGCAGCATATATCACAGGCTGCCTTACCAGGTTTGAAACTCCTTTTGTCTCTGAAAAGGAAATTCCTTAAATAGCTAGTAGAGCCGAATATAGATTCTGAAAGCTAGACACTGAAGGATCTCTACACTAGATGAGGACAGAAGAGGCCCATGAAAAAAAAAGGTGCTCTACTGGACTCCCAGAGCTTTGTTAATCTTTTGACATTTTTAATTTTTTACCAAACTTTCACCAGCAATGTTACTTCAAAATGAAAAACTGAAATATCAGTTTCTCAAAGCTTTAAACAAGGATGTTTTTACCACACACTGTTTTTTTCCTCCCTTCTTAAAACAAAGCAGTATCAGTTGGTACGCTTTTTCTTAAGCCTTTTACATTTCAGCAAAGAAATAACGGAAAGTGCTGCATAAGAAAGTGTTCCTGAATGGTTTCTGACCAGCTTCACTAAGTGGCTTTTAAAAAGCAGTTCAGTATTCAAACAGCTTGGACATGACTCTAGCTCCCATTATTCCTGTGCTCAACACAAATGAGCACTAATTGCTGGAATAAAATTGCTTACCCCAAATCAAGAAGAGCAGATCATGGAAACAGATTACAATGGTACCAATAATAATAATAAAAAAGCATGGTTGACAAATATTGTTGAATAGCATGAAAGACTGTTGGGGCTGGGGAATACCAACATATCTTATGAATAATAATTATCATTTTTTGTATCAATGGGACACTAAAGACCTCATGTAGAAACAGCCTCTCTTTGCACCAAGTAAATATATTTTAGATGCATTAGCAATGTCCACTAAGTAATTTCAAATCCTTAGTCCTGAACTAAAATAAAAAGCTGACTTATCGACATAGGAGGCATCTGAAATAGTTCCTAGAAGTTCTGACTTCAGAATTGCATACCTAGAAATAAGAAATTAAAAGCTACTATTTAAGCACTATGGGAAAGAATAAAACATACACACAGGAAACAAAATTAGGTTTTTCAGATAGTAGGGAAAATAATAAGGAAATATAGTTTTAAGCGCTTGGATTTTCAAATGAGTTTACCCAATTCAGATGATAGGCATCCCAGAAGAAGATTAAAAAACACTCAAAAAATTAAATACTTGGGAGGCATCAAATGAATGTGAATATATATATTTTTAATATAATCCTTGACAATAACTGGCAACTGAATTTAAGTGCAAAGCAAAACATTCTTCTGGATGTACAAAATACATCATACAGATGTTAAGAAATTAATATTAGTCAAAGATAGTCAATAATAGTCAATAATAGTCAAAGATTTTTAGGCAAAACTGAAAAAATAATTTAAAACATCTCTTGTGCCACCACAATAAGAAAACACATGGACAAACTGATTGATTTGATGAAATTTAATTTGAAAAAGTACCTCAGCTGTTCCCTAAATGCAACTCCATATGAGTTTTCAGAACTCAAGTTAAGGTCTCAGTATCACTGCCCTAGGCACCAAGCACCCCAAGGGTAGGAACTAAAGTGAGCACTAAGCATATCCCAAACTGGGATAGACACTGATGTAGCTTAAATCCTAGCCTACAGAAAAAGGAAACTATGTGAATCCTTTGTTCGGTGTGAGTCAGTATTAGCAGAAATGTATCAGCATTTCCTGCATAGGTCCCTGAGCAGGAATAGCATTGCACTGCAAAGAAAACAATCATAAACAAAGCAGAATTCACTCATCAGCAATACGAAATCTTTGTAAAATAAGTAAGTCAAAAAATGATTTCTAAATTGCATAGCTAGGTGAGACAGTCCAGCCTAGCCATCCTTCAGAAAACCATACCTGCAAATGGACTGCCAGTCTCTGAAGAGAGCACTGTGATCATGTGGCATTAAATGGTAAATAACTTTGAGCTAGAAAACATTTTCAGAGAGAAAAATGTTATTAAGCACAGATCATATTTAGTAATAAAGCAAAATGATCACTTGTAAAATATATGACATTCAATCCAGCTGTCATACTACCTAACAATGGCAAACACAAGCTGCAAAAAGCAGTGTAATACACAGCAAGAGGAAAGGTGACAGTGCACGCCTGATGAATTTGTCAATCTGATAGCAAAAAAGTATCAGCATGAGTTAAAATGACAAGCTGATCAGACTACGTCCCTCATACACTTCTTTCATTATGTACATTTATATTATTTAAATATTCTGCCCCCTTTTAAGAGCACAGAACTCCTTCCAAAGTAGCCTCCCTATGCCTAAGAGCAAATCTGAAGCTTCTAACAAACTCAACCTCACCAAGAAGGACAAGGGCAGGAAGCCAATCCAGAACACTGACAACTTCCAGACACTGGATTTCCTCACTATTGATTGAAGATCAAAAGCACCTGCAAAATGATCTGAATGCAAATGCTGGACTCTATAACCAAGCATTTCATTGGAGACTTTCTAACCTTCTTATTTCAAACAACAGAGTTAATATTTACAAGTGAAACACATGGCAAGAAATAACAGATGGGTAAAAACAGATGGGTGAACACAAGGTATCAGTGAGATGTTTATGATCAGCATAATAAACAGCTGCCACATGTACATGACCATCATTAGATCTTCTTGCAGTGGCTCCCTATCTGTCCTACACCCAAGTCTTCCTAAATTATATTTTCTAACCTATTCATTTTATAGCTCTTCTCTGATCTTTTTGTTTTCTTCTCAGTTCGACAGTATCTTATACCAAGGCGTCCAAAGTTGGGCAAATAATTGTGAAGTGGAAATAGAATCCAAGCCCTGCACTGGGGAATTCACTGGAAGCTGCAGTATTAATTCAGAATTATTCACTGTTTGTATGAGCATATCAGCCACAGCTTAGAGCAGCAAAAGTTCTTTGGCACCTCATTTGCCAAGATTGAATCCAGGATACCAGCACAAACCAGTGACAGCTATACTCTTGAATGTGAGACCTAGGATGCAGAAATTAAGGTACACATTCCCTTTCCTGCCACTTGATAGCAATATTGGGTGATGAAGTTAAATTTATTGCTTTAAAATAGCTATTGCTTGTTGCTGCCCATCGTGGATGTTATAGGTCACTGTAACAGCAATTTTTTCCTCTTCCTTCACTCCATATCAAAACAGCTGGGATAGGCCCCGATCTCCTTCATTGCTGTGAATTTTGTGGCAAGGGCACTTCCATGGAGAACTGGGGGATTATCAGGACTCCCGGGTATGAAGGCAGATTTTCTTTTACCATTGATGGCATAATGAAAAATTTTCTAGTATCCCAACCATTGCTTATTCACACTATAATACAAAATGGTTATCCTGTCTCATGCCACTGAAGATTAACAGTCTTTCTGCTTTTTGTCTACATTTCTTTTGACTCCTACTAAAAGTGTGGTAAGAATAATGCCCTCAAAAATCGAGCAGCTCTATTGCTCTGCTTAAAACAGTACTACAGAACAACGACTGCTCTCTCAAGCAGCTTGCATAATAACAACAAATTATCCATGTGCTCCACTTTAATAGCTAGTACCTCCATAAAAGAAATTACTTCCATCACTGTTATACCACCAGCCTCTACAGTTTAAAACAATTTTAAATTACATTTTTGGAGTTTAAAAATAAGACAAAGTGGGGCTTAGCCTGT